ATTGATATGTCTATCTTTACGACACTTTGTTAAAAATAATGGACCTCCTATAGAATTACATCGTTTTTCTTTATTATATTCTAATCTAAAAACATTAATACTAATATCATTTAATTTCTCTACTTTTGCTATGTCAGAAATTTTAACTGGAAAGGAAATACCATCAAATTTAAGTTTATTTGCATGTTTAACGTACGATGATACACGATCCGCGTTTTTGTTTACGGGATATAACGCCGAGAGTAACGCCCATTTAAAACAAAAATAATCCTTGCTTTTTTACATTTATAATAGCCTTTTTTAATTTTATGTCACGAGGAAGATCCATGTATGAAGTACCGCGTAGGGGGTTAAATTTATTAACATTCATGTCTATAGATTTTATGTTTTTTAGACTCCATCCACTATCTTTTTTTTCAAATGCACTAATTTTAGTAGTAATTGTATCATTTAAAGATTAAAATTTTTTTTAAGTCATCTCCTTGACAAATAATATAGTTAAGCGTTTGAAAATCGAACGTATCATGAATATCTTTAGTTTGTTGAACAAAATCAGCATGCAATATGAAGTTTAATTTAAAAATTATGTGTTGATGAATACACTCTTGTATTAAAAATAAAATATCATCTTTAATAGAATTTAAAAATAGTTCAGGAGTTTCAAAATTTACCAATGTCGAACTATCTACTCTACTATTGATTTTATAAGTTAAAATCCTATTTCCAAAAGCAGATTCAATAACACTAACGTTTGATAAAGAATTATGTGATTTAAAAGATTATTTTTGTGAACATTACTTTTAAAATGATTAGCTAAATATCGTTTCTTGATAAATATATGACACGTTAGACATTCCACTTGATCATCGTTACTGATACTGTTCCCTGCAGAGGTAGGCGCTTCTGCTTCCGTTGTTGGTTTTTTGATGATCTTGGGTTCTTTGCTGCTCGTTCGCTTCGTTCCTCTTCCAAGTTGCAGTGATTGACTACTAAAATGTTTAAATTTATTAAAAACTGTATAAGACAATGTGTAAATTATGATCGAAATGAATGTTTATTTTACTTAATTAAACTGTGTTTCAACCATCGCACAGTGATCATACAACTCATCATCATACGATGAATCGAACAGTTGAACCTTCTCTATTTCATCACAAAATTTAGACAACTCTTGATTTAATTCGCTGTTGAATAGTTCCGTATTCTCTTCCATGGTTGTGGAGAAGAAAGCACTGGTGCACACTCCACTGTTGGTAGACCAACTGATACCCAAATTTCAAATAATGTCCGATATTCATAGTCTAGCAAAGGACTAGAAATAGAATATAATGAGTACACAGAAGTAATTTAAGTAAACAGAATCACATTCACTAATGATCAGCTAAAGACTGTCATTGTTAAAAAAGTATTTTTTAACTTTTTCACTTTCTGCTATTGTCTTTGTAATATTGTATACGAGGGCGTTTGTGTTGTCGTAGATGCTATCCTTATTCGTCTTTACGTAATATTTAAGCCTCGTGGAAGCATGTTTCCAATGATCAGTAGTTGGAATCTTGGATAGCTTCTTCATATCGTACATTTCAATTTTGATGAGATGCGTCGCTTGGTCTCCGTCGTCAGAATTAGTAGAAATGTATGATACACCATCTCTAGCGGCTCGTGCTACGGTTGATGATAACAGCTTCCTCTTTTTTATTTTTGATTCAGCTTCAAAAAAATGATCAATCGATTGCGATTTTCTTTTTCCACCATCGCATGTGTTATTATTAATGACGATGTCATCACTCTCTTCTTGAGGGGAGAGTGGCAAGTAGTATTACTGTTTATAGGTATTTTCATCGAAGCTCAATGATTTCTGCAACAACACAGTTATCATGTTAATATCAATTTTTCTGGTTTGCCCCTCCATCCCTCTGTGGCTGCTCCCCTCTATATCCCGCCACACTGCGTTGTTACACTTTGTTTTCGAGATTACGACGAATTTGTTAACACTTAATCATAAAAGTTAAAAAAATAGTTACAGCCTATTAGTCACTGCTGATGGCTCTCTTGAGAGGGCGGAAATGTTGCTCGTGCCTCAATGCGTGTTGGCAAACTGCCTTATCAGACATGCAGGTTTCCTCACGATGTTTTCCTTCACCGCTGAGCACGTGGTAAATCAGCACTTAAAATTGCAATTAACAATTTAATTGGTGCCGGCGGGGATCGAACCCGGGTCGCGTACTATGAAATTTACATTTTGCGCTAACCATCTGAGCTACCACGGCTTAATCATATACACACATAATATTTAAATATAATTTGTTAACACTAAATCATACACACGTAAGAAAATAACAGAAACAAAAGTAAGTTTGTCAATAGAATAAACACTTACATCCATTGCCTTTGATGCGTTGAAGTAACACAAATGTAGTATTGATAGATCCACTACGGTCAAACGACCATACACTAACTCAATGACTGCAGTTGCCTGGTCTTATATAGTACCAGTAAGTAATAATTCTAATCTAAAGAATTTCTGCAGTGGAATTGATAGTAACTTTATGCGTCAACAAGCTTATCTCACATTCTGTTGCTTATCTCAGCATTCCTTCATCCTTCGTGTCGTGTCTTGTTCAGTGTATTGATGACTCAAATACGTTTTGTATAACACAAAGAATGCAATTTAATATTTAGAAATCACTATAATTGATCATTCCTATGTTAGTCATTGAGTAGATTGGTACTGTAATAATTTACTAATAGCAGTAATATCATGGATACACTAGATGTACAACAACATCTGAAAAAGATTCACTCCACTCTAGAAATTAATGTTTATGCTGCCAATAAACTGCCCATGTACACCCACGTACCAACGTATATAATATGCAATTTGGATACAGATGATAAACCAGGGTCACATTGGGTAGCTTTATATATCGATACGAATGACGTCGGTCAATATTTTGATTCATTCGGACGAGCACCTGTACGATATCATTTAGAGTTTTTAAACATAAATTGTAAAAGATGGAACTGGAATGTTGATAGGATTCAGAATGAGTGGACTTCAGTTTGTGGCGAATATTACTTAATGTATTTGGTATATAAGTTTCAGTGATGTTCAATGCATAGTTTTACGAGTATATTTACAGGGAACACATTGCATAACGATATTTTAGTGGATGAGATGTTTCGCTCCTATTTTATAGATAATAAGTTATAAGATTTTGTATTTTGTAAATAAAAATTTTAACAAAATTAGGTAATGTGTTTTATTGATGATTCAGATTAGTGTTGTAGATAGGAACAAAGGAGTATAATACAATAGCACTGATAAGCCGACGCACGATTAGACAATGACGGTATTCAATGAACAATAGATAAACAACAATGGGGCGCTAATGACGGGGGAGGCCCGGAGGCCCTCACTGGATATCAATTAGATAAGAGTTAATTGATCTGTACATCTCTGGAACCTTGCATACTACGCAAAAATGGACCGCAGATTCGTGATCAGAGCATGCCAAAACCTTTTTTTTTTAGGATCGTGGAGTCGACGAACGTCGTACTTGTACCACTTCTGACTCAGTGAGCCAGAACTGGTACTAACTAACTACTAGCAATATAGGTACCCCAGTAGAAGTACCAGCACAACGATAGACAGCAAAATATTACTGGTAGTCGGGTGAAATTGCAGTTGTTCAACTCTTGCCTTATTGTTTCCCATTGCGTTTTGCACAATTACGGTCTCTTCTTTAGTCTGTTTACCGCCCATCTTGGATGTTATTTTTCATTAAACACGTGTACACAGTCGCGCAGCTTAAGATAGAACGCCATAGCTTGATTTAGTTCATCAGTTGCACACAGAAAAAATGTTCCACTCCAAATACGGCGGAGGGTGTCATATTCGCGTCGCGAATTACTTCGGCAGGGTCGCCATGTAGGGCGAATGTTAGGAGAGGAGTTAAACAAACTAATGATGATATAAGACTCTCTTTATTGTATTAATAAATTTGATTATATAGGATTATTATTACACTTGTGTGTGTACTTTTATATACTCTTACTACTACTACTTACCGGCATTTTATAAAGAGATTCTAACATAAACCTTAAGACCGCGTAAACCTTTGATCTAAGTTCCTGTATATAACTTCATTTACAACTTTTGGATATCCGCAATCAAGTCCATTAAATAGTTTTGAGTCTTCGAAATTAACCAATTTTGAGTCAAAAAAAAAACGCAAAAATGAAGTTAATTCCACAGAGCTTGACATTCAGACTCCAAGTCGTTTATAGGCGAAGATAACCGTAGGTACCGAACTTGGCCCCTTTGTACATGTGGGTGTGGGGTGTAATTCCCACACTTTATGATAGATGATAATATAAATTTTGCTACGATATGATATATATTTGATATGATATTATGATGGTAAAGTTAACTCGCCGAGTACTGGCGCGTAACAGTGCTGTGTTATTAATACTGCTAAGTTAACAAAATTAAATACATATAAGTGGTTGTGAAATATGTAAATACGTTTCACCGTACAGTGGGATATCAATAACTTTTAAAAGCTTTTCCTTTTGTTAATCTAAACAAATATGTGATCTCCAACGTTTGTCTTGTGTTTACACTTCAATTTATTCTTTTTTATTTTAAACTACACGAATTAAATGTCGACAAGTAGGTAGTTGAAACTAACTGCACCATTAACTTGACACCGAATATCGATGATAACTAACTTTGAGATTTTTTCCTTTGTTTAAGGCTAATTATTATTGATGCTAAATGTATATATATATATATATATATATATATATATATATATACTATGATGGAAGTGGTGTAGGTAACTAATGACTTGTTGATTAAGTGTTAAAAATAGCACTAATCGGATCTCAGGAAATATGCGTGTAGGATTATTTATGAATTCGCAATTATTTGACATACTTACCTTTGTCTTAATGTTTTTTGCATAGTAAAAAACCTTTCATTTAAAATTTATTTTCAGAATAGCAAAAATGTAGTTGCTAACATTGACGAGATAACGCTTAAGGAACCGACCATGCCTGAAATTATGTTGCTAAATGTAAGTTATGATTATTTAAATTATAATTTAAGGTTTAGTTTAAGTTTAGCTTTAAGCATTTTTTAAATATGATGTCACTTAAAATAATATTGTAAATATATTATTTTATTTAAATTATTAGAGTTAATTCATGTTGAATTACAAATTATCTTCAATTCTATTATTTAAAGCTGGATATCTTATTATTCTACATTGATATCTCAATGTAATTACTAAAAACTACCTCATGCATATTCATGTTGAATTACAAATTGTCTTCAATTCTATTATTTAAAGCTGGATATCTTATTATTCTACATTGATATCTCAATGTAATTACTAAAAACTACCTCATGCATATTCATGTTGAATTACAAATTGTCTTCAATTCTATTATTTAAAGCTGGATATCTTATTATTCTACATTGATATCTCAATGTAATTACTAAAAACTACCTCATGCATATTCATGTTGAATTACAAATTGTCTTCAATTCTATTATTTAAAGCTGGATATCTTATTATTCTACATTGATATCTCAATGTAATTACTAAAAACTACCTCATGCATATTCATGTTGAATTACAAATTATCTTCAATTCTATTATTTAAAGCTGGATATCTTATTATTCTACATTGATATCTCAATGTAATTACTAAAAACTACCTCATGCATATTCATGTTGAATTACAAATTGTCTTCAATTCTATTATTTAAAGCTGGATATCTTATTATTCTACATTGATATCTCAATGTAATTACTAAAAACTACCTCATGCATATGTTGTGGATAGTAGTTTGCCTCCATTTGGAGTTCTATATCATTTTTAAAGCACAGTAAAGTTACAGCGTCTACATACATGCTACTGCGGGGTACAAGTCTCCTCTCATTTCTGAGAGGGTTTTAGGGAAAAGAAAACTCCGCCGCGCCGCCCCAATGGTGTTGAGAATCAGATGGCTTCGTATTATTATTTTATATTTTCTCGGATATGCACGTCATGATTTTTACCTTCATCGCCGAGTATGTGATAAATCAACACTTAAAGTAACAAGCAATAACTTACATATTTTTAATCTTAGGATGATTTCGGCGAGCTTCACATTGATCATCAGATCGCTGATCGTACGATGGAGCTGATGATGCAAGGCGACGTGTCTGCGATAGATCATAGCGTGTTCGACCTTCCCGCAGACTTCTCCGCCGAGAAGTCGCACGACAAGTCTGAGCCAGCCACTCACGACGCGCAGATGGAAACTACATCGGAGCACGATGTCGCCATGTATCGCAAGTGTAAGTAACAACCTCCGACCAAAAAAGTAAGATAGACGGAACGCTGCGTACATTGTTAGTGATGCCAAAACTATGCTTAACTTCTCAACACGCGTACACACACATACATCTTTCTTCCTTTTTTCTTCATCAGTAAGTAAATTTCAATATTGCACAAACACATACCCTGAAACAATGTTGTTTGCAAATTATTTTAGATGCAATTTATTTTTATTTTATAGAGTAATGGTGACAAACGAGCACACAGTCCACCTGATGGTAAGTGGTTGCTGTGGCCCATATATATCTACACTATCCTCGTATGCGATTCAAAATGCAGATGCGTTGTCAGCCGTGAGGACTAGATGAAATGCCTCGTTTCCAGTAAAAAGGGTCTCCGGTTAGGGGGAGGCCTATGTTCAGCAGTGGGCCTTAATAGTCTGTAACGGGTTTCCGTTGCAGCCTATATTTAAAGTCCACGGTAGCATCGCGCCCTTATGATAAGTTGGCATGGGTTTGACTGGCTTTTGCGACACTGGAAATGTAGTGTTGAACCAACTATTTTCTTCTTAATTTTTTACGTGATAGAGATACAGCTGTATTAAAGACTCCCTTGGAAATAGATTAGCAGCGTAATGCTGCTGTTTCGTATGGTGTGCGTAGAGAACAGGAGACTCATTTTATTGGCAACGACGCATTCCATCTTAGTCCGGATTTTGATTCTCTTTTGAAGGCAAGAAGTAGGTGGAGAAATAAAATGTATTCCAGAACATGAGAAGTTAAGAAGAGAAAAGAGAAAAATGCAGCACTAAATCTCAGTAATTTATATTTAAATAGAATTTGAATGAAACGAATTTAAAAGTAATATCGCGTGCAATGTAAATTTATTTTTGAATTCCTAGCGTTTGAAGAAAACTGCAATGTCCTCCCGCGAACAAGGATATTAGCATTAAATGATATAATTATGTTCATTACTCTGTTAAAACCTTTTTATTCCACAGCCGTTGGAACCGAGCTCGTTGCAGTTGGCGATTTTGAAAAAGGCATGTATGAAATTTACAGCGTTAATGTGATATTGAAAACATTTTTTTAATTTATTGATATAACAATAATAATAATGGCCACACAGAAATCCCTGACGATCCTGAAATCCCTGAATATCCTGAATTCCCTGAAGATCCTGAAATTTCTGAAGATCCTGAAATGCGTGAAGATCCTGAAATCCCTGAAATTCCTCTTCCTGCATTGAATACTCCTCATCCGAATGCGTTAGTATTTTTTCAAAATAATTAATTACTTGTAATCATTATGGTAATTTTTTTGTTTATCTAATTTATATATTATCTAAAATATGGTAAGTTTTTTTTATTTTCTTATGGAGGAAATTGGCCATGTTAAAATATATTTATTTCACTGCAGGCAAACTGTGGAACAGAAAGCCATCATTGTTCCGACTGAGGCTACCGTGGGAGAGCCGGCTGAAGGATTTGTCTTGGAGGTAATAATAATCCTGGCGAGTAGAAATTGAAAACGACAGTGTCACTACGGCAGTGACACGTAATTATTTGATGGTTTTTGGTTCGAATCCTAGATCTCATTTAGAGATTACAATTTTTAAAAATTGTCATTAATATTGTGGTGTTTCAATAATTTTTTCTTAATCGTTTAGGAAACTATGGACGGCAAGTTCTTGAAGTGGGTAATTAAAACCTGGCCGGTCAAATTATAGTGTAGCCCACAAGACAATGTATAATTAGTGTTAGATGTAGAATAAGGGATTCGTTTTTTTAAAGTCATAATACCAGCAATACGACTCCTCGTTAAAACTTTCCTGCATTACAACAAGATTAACAGGCCTCCAACTTCGTTACCGTGAAATCATTGGGGAGGGTGTAGGGTCGAGCCGAATCTCTCATGTGGATGAGGAGAGATGACGGCTTTTGGTAAATATCACTTAATTTTTTTCCGCGAGAAGCAGTGTAAAATTGCGAGAAAACACCGTGGACTGAATTAGAATGAACTTACGAATTTTAGTAGTTCATACTTAAGCATTTTATTGCTTTTATTTTGATTCTTTCGAAAAAGCGCCAAAATCACTTCTCAAAATTAATGGACGCCACCTAACATATAATAATTAGAATAATTTTCGAAACTATACGATAATTTATTTAGGAACTGCCGACGGTTATTTATAGTTCTATTTCGGATATCCGATGATTTTTTACGGTTACGGAATTTCGTCACTTCTCTGAAAAGTAGAACCCCTTTCTTGCCTATCAGTCCGTCTGATCAGGCACAAACCACGTTGTGTTGGGTTAGGTGTGTTCTGGCCTGAAGAGCTGCATCTGATACCAATATTATAAAGAAAGGCAGTATAAAATATAAATGCAGGCTGTGAGTCATTCCGTCTTAGTTAGGTGTGTTCTGGCCTGAAGAGCTACATCTGATACCAATATTATAAAGAAAGGCAGTATAAAATATAAATGCAGGCTGTGAGTCATTCCGTCTTAGTTAGGTGTGTTCTGGCCTGAAGAGCTGCATCTGATACCAATATTATAAAGAAAGGCAGTATAAAATATAAATGCAGGCTGTGAGTCATTCCGTCTTAGTTAGGTGTGTTCTGGCCTGAAGAGCTACATCTGATACCAATATTATAAAGAAAGGCAGTATAAAATATAAATGCAGGCTGTGAGTCATTCCGTCTTAGTTAGGTGTGTTCTGGCCTGAAGAGCTACATCTGATACCAATATTATAAAGAATGGAGTATGAAATTAGAATTTTAGTAGTTCATGCTGTAAGCTTTTATTGCTTTTATTTTGTTCTTTCGAAAAAGGCCAAAATCACTTCTGAATAGACTAAATATTATAATTAGAATAATTTTCGAAACTATAGATAATTATTTAGGCTGCGAGTATTTATAGTTTTTCGGATATCCGATGATTTTTTAGTTACGGAATTTCGTCACTTCTCTGAAAAGTAGAACCCTTTCTGCTATCAGTCCGTCTGATCAGGCACACCGTGTGTTGGGTTAGGTGTGTTCTGGCCTGAAGAGCTGCATCTGATACCAATATTATAAAGAAAGGCAGTATAAAATATAAATGCAGGCTGTGAGTCATTCCGTCTTAGTTAGGTGTGTTCTGGCCTGAAGAGCTACATCTGATACCAATATTATAAAGAAAGGCAGTATAAAATATAAATGCAGGCTGTGAGTCATTCCGTCTTAGTTAGGTGTGTTCTGGCCTGAAGAGCTACATCTGATACCAATATTATAAAGAAAGGCAGTATAAAATATAAATGCAGGCTGTGAGTCATTCCGTCTTAGTTAGGTGTGTTCTGGCCTGAAGAGCTACATCTGATACCAATATTATAAAGAAAGGCAGTATAAAATATAAATGCAGGCTGTGAGTCATTCCGTCTTAGTTAGGTGTGTTCTGGCCTGAAGAGCTGCATCTGATACCAATATTATAAAGAAAGGCAGTATAAAATATAAATGCAGGCTGTGAGTCATTCCGTCTTAGTTAGGTGTGTTCTGGCCTGAAGAGCTACATCTGATACCAATATTATAAAGAAAGGCAGTATAAAATATAAATGCAGGCTGTGAGTCATTCCGTCTTAGTTAGGTGTGTTCTGGCCTGAAGAGCTACATCTGATACCTATATTATAAAGAAAGGCAGTATAAAATATAAATGCAGGCTGTGAGTCATTCCGTCTTAGTTAGATGTGTTCTGGCCTGAAGAGCTACATCTGATACCAATATTATAAAGAAAGGCAGTATAAAATATAAATGCAGGCTGTGAGTCATTCCGTCTTAGTTAGGTGTGTTCTGGCCTGAAGAGCTACATCTGATACCAATATTATAAAGAAAGGCAGTATAAAATATAAATGCAGGCTGTGAGTCATTCCGTCTTAGTTAGGTGTGTTCTGGCCTGAAGAGCTACATCTGATACCAATATTATAAAGAAAGGCAGTATAAAATATAAATGCAGGCTGTGAGTCATTCCGTCTTAGTTAGGTGTGTTCTGGCCTGAAGAGCTACATCTGATACCTATATTATAAAGAAAGGCAGTATAAAATATAAATGCAGGCTGTGAGTCATTCCGTCTTAGTTAGGTGTGTTCTGGCCTGAAGAGCTACATCTGATACCTATATTATAAAGAAAGGCAGTATAAAATATAAATGCAGGCTGTGAGTCATTCCGTCTTAGTTAGGTGTGTTCTGGCCTGAAGAGCTGCATCTGATACCTATATTATAAAGAAAGGCAGTATAAAATATAAATGCAGGCTGTGAGTCATTCCGTCTTAGTTAGGTGTGTTCTGGCCTGAAGAGCTACATCTGATACCTATATTATAAAGAAAGGCAGTATAAAATATAAATGCAGGCTGTGAGTCATTCCGTCTTAGTTAGGTGTGTTCTGGCCTGAAGAGCTACATCTGATACCTATATTATAAAGAAAGGCAGTATAAAATATAAATGCAGGCTGTGAGTCATTCCGTCTTAGTTAGGTGTGTTCTGGCCTGAAGAGCTACATCTGATACCTATATTATAAAGAAAGGCAGTATAAAATATAAATGCAGGCTGTGAGTCATTCCGTCTTAGTTAGGTGTGTTCTGGCCTGAAGAGCTACATCTGATACCAATATTATAAAGAAAGGCAGTATAAAATATAAATGCAGGCTGTGAGTCATTCCGTCTTAGTTAGGTGTGTTCTGGCCTGAAGAGCTACATCTGATACTTATATTATAAAGAAAGGCAGTATAAAATATAAATGCAGGCTGTGAGTCATTCCGTCTTAGTTAGGTGTGTTCTGGCCTGAAGAGCTACATCTGATACCTATATTATAAAGAAAGGCAGTATAAAATATAAATGCAGGCTGTGAGTCATTCCGTCTTAGTTAGGTGTGTTCTGGCCTGAAGAGCTACATCTGATACCAATATTATAAAGAAAGGCAGTATAAAATATAAATGCAGGCTGTGAGTCATTCCGTCTTAGTTAGGTGTGTTCTGGCCTGAAGAGCTACATCTGATACCTATATTATAAAGAAAGGCAGTATAAAATATAAATGCAGGCTGTGAGTCATTCCGTCTTAGTTAGGTGTGTTCTGGCCTGAAGAGCTACATCTGATACCTATATTATAAAGAAAGGCAGTATAAAATATAAATGCAGGCTGTGAGTCATTCCGTCTTAGTTAGGTGTGTTCTGGCCTGAAGAGCTACATCTGATACCAATATTATAAAGAAAGGCAGTATAAAATATAAATGCAGGCTGTGAGTCATTCCGTCTTAGTTAGGTGTGTTCTGGCCTGAAGAGCTACATCTGATACCAATATTATAAAGAAAGGCAGTATAAAATATAAATGCAGGCTGTGAGTCATTCCGTCTTAGTTAGGTGTGTTCTGGCCTGAAGAGCTACATCTGATACCAATATTATAAAGAAAGGCAGTATAAAATATAAATGCAGGCTGTGAGTCATTCCGTCTTAGTTAGGTGTGTTCTGGCCTGAAGAGCTACATCTGATACCTATATTATAAAGAAAGGCAGTATAAAATATAAATGCAGGCTGTGAGTCATTCCGTCTTAGTTAGGTGTGTTCTGGCCTGAAGAGCTACATCTGATACCTATATTATAAAGAAAGGCAGTATAAAATATAAATGCAGGCTGTGAGTCATTCCGTCTTAGTTAGGTGTGTTCTGGCCTGAAGAGCTACATCTGATACCAATATTATAAAGAAAGGCAGTATAAAATATAAATGCAGGCTGTGAGTCATTCCGTCTTAGTTAGGTGTGTTCTGGCCTGAAGAGCTACATCTGATACCAATATTATAAAGAAAGGCAGTATAAAATATAAATGCAGGCTGTGAGTCATTCCGTCTTAGTTAGGTGTGTTCTGGCCTGAAGAGCTACATCTGATACCAATATTATAAAGAAAGGCAGTATAAAATATAAATGCAGGCTCTGAGTCATTCCGTCTTAGTTAGGTGTGTTCTGGCCTGAAGAGCTACATCTGATACCAATATTATAAAGAAAGGCAGTATAAAATATAAATGCAGGCTGTGAGTCATTCCGTCTTAGTTAGGTGTGTTCTGGCCTGAAGAGCTACATCTGATACCAATATTATAAAGAAAGGCAGTATAAAATATAAATGCAGGCTGTGAGTCATTCCGTCTTAGTTAGGTGTGTTCTGGCCTGAAGAGCTACATCTGATACCTATATTATAAAGAAAGGCAGTATAAAATATAAATGCAGGCTGTGAGTCATTCCGTCTTAGTTAGGTGTGTTCTGGCCTGAAGAGCTACATCTGATACCAATATTATAAAGAAAGGCAGTATAAAATATAAATGCAGGCTGTGAGTCATTCCGTCTTAGTTAGGTGTGTTCTGGCCTGAAGAGCTACATCTGATACCTATATTATAAAGAAAGGCAGTATAAAATATAAATGCAGGCTGTGAGTCATTCCGTCTTAGTTAGGTGTGTTCTGGCCTGAAGAGCTACATCTGATACTAATATTATAAAGAAAGGCATATAAAATACAAATGCAGGCTGTGAGTCATTCCGTCTTAGTCCTCAGAGGTGATAACGCATTTGTAGCTTTCTTTGTTTGAAGTTAGTTACAGGTGTCAGATAAGTTCGATTATCACTTCAACTTTATTTTAAAAAACCGTTCCATTAATTTTACAATACGACGTATGCTTATTATGCAGGAGCTGGAAGATGTGGAGCCGCAAGTGAAACGGCGACGTCAACAGAAGCTCATCATCGACAAGAAGACCGAGCTGAGCACAGAGTACATGCGCGTCAGGATTGACGATATATCCGTCCAATTACGATGCCAAGTATTTTGTTTTTTATCTCTAGCAATGTTTCCGAACCACTATTGTGCGAATTAACAAAACTGAGTAATTCGGTTGAATTTATTTTAATGTATATTACTAGCAGCGAATTCTTTCGAATAATTTCAATAACATTGAAGTGAATAACTTTCTTTTCTAAAGTGGCATAAGCGATTCGCGTCGAAAACTTCATGTGTTTGTGTTTTTTCATGGTCGATATCGTAACGATGTGAGCAGATTATTTGCCGTAAATTACGGCTTTAGGAAGGTGAAGTCTTTATTCAGTGCACTACAGAGCAATATTACAATTTTTATGGTTTTATAGAGAAAAGACAAGCGTTTTACGAAAATATGCTTCTGACTTATCTTTCAGGTCGACGACAACCATTGTTCTAAGCTAAATATTTTATTTAAGCGTTATTATAACTATATGCGTAGTCCTTAAGTTTAATATTTAAAAAAATTTATTAGATCATCAAAACTGTCCACTTCAATGTCATTTTGCCGTGTATTTAATATAAACAAATCTATTTCAATTATTTTATCAATATACAAGAAATGTTAAATATCCAAAAAAATTAGCACATTTTATTTAGTGAATTATTTTGTATGATTATTTTAAAAATACTACGTCGTCCGATCAGTACACTCCAGATCCGCTCGTGTTCGCGTTCCTTCACACCGACAGCGTAAATATTCACTAAAAAAACACGAAATAGTCAACATCAAAGTTTTAAACGAGATACACATGTCAATCATGTTGACTCGTTTTGTTTGTCTCACTGCCTGGTGCCACTTGCCCGACACGCTATGCATCGACGTCGTTAATTTGACGATCATTTATTTTTTCATTCTGTTGTTGGTAATCACAGAACACTATTTGTTAGTAATCAGCACAGTACGTAACTTACATGCTGCTGTTTAAATTAGTACATTTAGTAAAATGCTAAAGTCTTGTGGGTAAGTTCTTCCACTAGTCAATTTCTTCAATAGGTTGTAAGTACTGTTGTTTACAATAAATAAAGTGACATTATACGTCCGATCCAAGGATTTTATCTAGGCCATCAAGCTTTTAGGTAGTATAAGTGTTTAATTACGTGTGAACGTGTACTGTTTATTGTATTGTATGTTACCGTTTTTGAGTGCTTTTTGAAGTGCATGTATTGTGAGTTCATAAGATTTATGACTATTTTCAGAATTATATTAAGATGAGTGATTCAGAAAGTTTAGAGTTTGCAACGAAAATTTATTGTTCAACAAGTTCTGATTTACCAAAAAGGAAAAATGCAAACAGACGATCGTGCAGTTTTTCTGATATTTGTACAAAAAATTATTAGCTCGTTTGATGAGTCCGAAATAATATTTATGAAAGACATAACGCATTGTGTCAAAAATACCAGTATAACTAATGGGGACCACATTGGCTACAAAAAATCTGCTTTTTGCAGCCATTGTAACTGTCCCCATTTTAAAGCCAAATTCCTGATTTTTACCTTCTGTTTCGAAATTTGACCACTTAAACTGGCCACACTAGCGTAGACGAATGAAAGCGCAACCCATTTAAATGAATGATGCCTACTTTGTTAGATGGTATTATTTATTTAATTATTAATAATGTTATACGTTTATTTAATAGTAAGCAATTTGTAATTGTATTATTTATCACTATAAAGATATGTAAATAATGAATTTTAGCATTGAGGGCCATTGATTCAAACCCGCATGTAACAAAAATATGTATAATGCTACAAATAGTTGTGTTTGGTCTTTTGTTTGAATGTTTATCTTTGTGAAATTTTTGTACTTATGTTAACTGCCCCCACTACATTCTTAAGAAAAATCACTTGTGTGGAGTTAACGTTATTATAAAACAAAACAAAAAGCTATTTAAGGGCCGTGATAGCTCAGCGGCGAAGTACTCGCCGTAAACGTGAGCAACCCGGGTCCGATCCCCGCCCACACATGAAATTGTTAGTTTGATGAATTATGTTTACATTATCAAACGATATCTTATCTATTTTATAAAGAAGTATGGACCACAGCATCCACTTATCATCAGATGGACTGTGTGTTAGATTGTCACTTTTATCTTTGTTAAAAATAAACGGGATAAAATCATTCATTCCATGTTATTTTCAAAGTTCTTTTACAATAGAGAAAAGGGTAAGAAACTAGCATCTAATTGTAAGCACATGCTATTAGGTAGACTATGTGTACAGCCCATAGACACCTACATCTATCCTCAATTGATATTCAAAATACATTTGCATGGGCACCCTGAGGATTAATTTCCGGTTCCCGTCTCTTAACATACCAAACATAGAAGCATTTTGCTTCTGATGCTGGTACTGTGTGAGGTGCAATCGTGGTTTTCCCCGGTCGTGCCGACACATTCGTGCTGCAGACGAGCTCCTCTTGCTACGTCACTGCGCTTGGATTAGGTGACAGCCTTCTCATTTGATGAACATCTCTGGCCTCCGAGCGCAAGTTTTAGATCAGGGAAAAAAATGTCGCTTGGGGCTAAATCTGGTGGGTAAGGTGGATGGTCAAGCAATTCAAACCGTTATTCGTAGATTTTCGCCATGGCAAATGCTGGTGAAACCAGATTTTTTTTCAGCAAATGTGGCCGTTTTTCCGCAATTTCTGCCTTCAGTATGTCAATTAATTATTAATAGAGTAATGAGTAGTATAGCAGCGATCACAATAGATCTTCTTGGTCGCAGTGATACTGGTCTCTTTCCGTAGCCCGGCGGAGCTGCTCGCACATAATAATAAAAAAATGAGCAATATGCTCCTGTATATTTCCTTTTGAAGATAATCGATTAAGATCCAGCCAGCCCAAAAAAGTTTTTTTTGGAGCCAGTAATCCTCTTGCAGTTTATTGTTTTGACTGTATTTTTGTTTCGGGTGTATAATAGTGTATCCAAGTTTCATCTACAGTAAATCATCGGTGTCAAAACTTTTTTTTTAATTTATTGTACCTAAACTGAGCCAACAGAGCGTTGGAAACGTTCATACAAACACGTTTTTGGTCTTACGAGTACGCCTAAATCTGGATTTAATGTGTGACAAACACTTCTTTGGATTTCATTAATCATAGTCTTTGCTATCTCTCTCACTTTGATTCGGCGGTCGCCTAGCACCATTTGGTGAACGTCAGCGATGTTATCGTTAGTTACTTGTTCAAGGTATTTCATATACGGCTATTTACAGATACCAATTACTTAACATCATAATACAATTTGTTATCTTAATCATAAGAGAATATTAAATATAACGGGGTTTCTACTACATATTTCTCGCTTAGTTTCCGAGATGTCGATACGCAAAAATTAAATACTAAAATTGAATTAGCACGTCCCGAATCCAAGTATTCTTGTCTGCCCTACCCCTAGTGTTTTATTAGGGCGTAAGCGCGGAGAGAGAGCAGCGCCCTTCCGCTGTAGCAAATAGCAGGCACCAGTGTGAGCCACAGTGGCTGAGGCTGGTCCAATAAACCAAAAATGCGGAGGTGAGCATGGGTGCCTGCTATTTTGCTTGCAAGGGCAAAGGGGCTACACTTCCCGCAGCGCCGAAGCTGTTGCAGAAGCAACATTGTAAAAGAAGTTCAATATTCCTGTGTAAAAAAAGTAATTTTAGTGTATGTATGTAACTTAAAATTACGGCGCCATAAGAACCGTAGTCGTGCACATATAACTTCCGTCTACAGTCGAAAATGGTTGGATGTTAAATAGCGTTTAACCTTTTCCATAAATCGAATTAAAAATTAAAAAATGTAATAACTTAAATTTTAAAACAAAACTTAATATCTAATAATATAACTTACTACTTAATAAAAATTATATATTAGTAATTATATATTAGTAATTAAAATTAACATCATCATCATCGTCGTCATTACAGCCTTTCACAAGTCCACTGCTGAACACAGGCCTCCACCAAGGTATGCCACAAAGCACGGTCCTGAAACACCTGCATCCATCGACTTCCTGCATGTCTTACCAGGTCGTCTCTCCATCTAGTGGTGGGTCGCCCTACACTTCGCCTACCGGTACGAGACTGCCACTCGAGAACCCTTCTTCCCCAACGGTTGTCGGTTCTTCGAACTATATGGCCGGCCCATTGCCACTTCAGCTTACTAATCCGTTGGGCTATGTCGGTCACTCTGGTTATCTCTCCACGAATAACTTAAAATTACAATAGTAATTATTAAGAAAGATTCTTACTCTAACAAATTGTTTTACTTTTTGTTCCAATAAAGCGTCGTTGGGAATAAAATACTCGTGGTACCATAGATCTGGTATAAACTCTTCATCACATTCCAATATACAGGTGTTTTAAAGTACGAGGAGTAAAGGGTTAAGTTTGGTGTGTATTTGTCTGAATATTACAAAAGACCGAAAACACTAACGAATCCCTGTGCCTCACCAACCCGTCTGCCTTTATAGTATGATAGGCGTACGGCTATGTACCAGAAGTGGAATATGAATAGGCCGTGATGATATTTAAAAAAAATATGTAGGTATCTATAAAACAAATTCGGTTTAATAGAATGGATTTCTAGAAATCTTATACGTTTCCAATCTGAAAACTTATATATAAAATAGGAAAGGATAATATGTACAGTATCTTTCATAATGTCACATTTTATTTAACGTTCATTTTGATCGACGTCGATAAATTATTAGAACGCTGCAACAATAATAATGCACACATTAACAACCTGCACAACACACACAAAGACGATCAGTTTTTTGCATGCAGTACGGGCCGTGTGCGACTAAAGACAAGCATAGTTTAGAGTGAGAGCGCATGATCGGCGCGGCGCCGCCATTTATGAATCGTTTCTTTATTCGCGCGGGTTGTGTAGGTCTCATATGTTTTGATCCAAAAGCCGCTTAGGAATAATCCTAATATGAACGTGATTGTCTTAACAAAGAACGAAAACGTTCTTAAATGTATTTATTTGATATTACCTGAAAATTTTCTTATTTTGATTTATTTCGTAACTTTTCACAATACGTTTAACTAAGCAATAAAATAGGTAAATTTCTGAATTATTGCAATTTTAAATAAATATGTACTTCATAATTTATATTGTTAAATACAAAAGTGAAATAATAAGTACAGAACTATGTTTTGGAAAAACAGGATAGTTCGGAGGACGTGGTGAATATCCGAGTACCCGCTCGTACTTACCTAAGTCGGCCCGCTCACGCTGGATACCGCTCTAACATGTCTCAAGTTTTGTCACGGCTTTTCCTACGCAATCTGAGAGTTTTAAATAGAACGCCGATGGCCGACAGAGAAATGGAGGTAATTTTTTTCATACTTTGTGTTTTAACTAGTAAATAAAGTACCCGTATTTTAAATGTAAAGTTAAGTAGTAAAGCAACAGTCTAATGCACGTCCCGCTACTGAGCACAACCCTCACATCTCTGACAGGGTTGTAAGTAGACGCCGCGCTGCTTTAGTTGATGGCTTTTACGTATCCACGAAATATCTTATTAATCTGACATGCGAATTTCCTCACGATGTTTTCCTTCGTCGCCGAGCACGTCGTAAATATCAGTACTTGAAATTGCAATTAACAAGTGCTAAGCCCCTGAGCTATCACAGCATTGCTTTTCAAAATATAAAGAATGTTTTGTTCATACAGTAAAAGTGGAAGTTTTTATAATTTTTTATAGAATAACGATAATGTATGGCCACACAGTCCACGTGATGGTGCGTGGATGCTGTCGCTCATAGACATCTGCATTTATCCTCTAATAAAAATCAAAATGCAGATGCGTTGTCATCCTTCAGGTCTAAGTCTTGTTTCCATTAAAAAGGGTCTCTGGGTCTCACACTCACAATACGAAACACAGCAGCATTAAGCTGCTATTTTATGCTGGCATTCTGTGAGATCGTGGTCCTTCCTCGGTCAAGTCGATCGATTCGTGCTACGACTATAATATAGCTGAAGCGTGCATCTGCCACGTCTAAAATCTCGCTCGCAGCAGGCTCGCCGACAGGAGGAGCAGGCTCGCCGACAGGAGGAACAGGTTCGTCGGTTGGAAGAGCAGCTGCGGGGCGGACATGATGAACAGGTCCGTCGTTTGGAAGATCAGCTGCGGGGTGGACAAGAGGAACAGGCCCGTCGGTTGGAAGAGCAAATGCTCCTCATGAAGGATCTTCACGCTACCTTCGGGAAGGAGATAAAGGAGTTTAAGGATAGGGTTGCTCAGCATGACAACCGCCTGTCGGAAGCTGAAACCCAAATCGCGAAGGCTGAAACCCAAATCAAGGAAGCTAAAACTCAAATCGACCAAGTGAACGATCGGGTAGACAACATGGTGGCTGATGTGAAGAAAACGCTGGACGATCTCAAACTGGGGGATGGAACTACACCTCCCGTAGTAGCTACAACACCTTCAGTACGTGGATTCAAAGTGCCGCCGTTCGACGGGACTTCTTCCTGGGCGGCCTACAAAATCCAGTTCGAGGCTGTTACGAAGGCAAACGGCTGGAATAAAAGTCAGGCCATGACTGCTCTCACACTAGGTTTGCGCGACCGGGCCTTAACTGTTCTAGAAGCTCTCGGTAAAGAAGTGACTTACGAGCAGCTCCTTGAGGCATTGGAGGCTAGATATGGCGACGCTCACCTGGAACACGTCTTTCGAGCGCAGCTTAGAGATCGCGTGCAACGCATCAATGAAAACCTGCAGCAGTGGGCTCTAGAGGTGGAGAAGCTGGTGCGAAAAGCATACCGGTCTATACCTGCGCTAATTGAAGGGAACCTGGTGCAGACATTCATCGACGGCATCCGCGACCTGGAAGTCAGAGCTGCTGTGAGGCTCGGGCACCACGAGACGCTTAAGGACGCCTTGGCCCAGGCACTGGAGGTGGAAGCCGTACGGCAGGACCATCGTTCCCATCGCGTCAGGGAGGTTGCAGCAGCTACAGTTCGCGACCACAATACAGGATACAGCCCTAGGTGCTATGGCTGTGGGGAAAGGGGCCATCTTCGATCCAGCTGCTCTAAGCGAACCCTAGAAAGGGAAGGTGAACGATCTCAGAAGGGAAGTGCGGCTAACATCACCGCCCAGCAGCAGCCGGGATACGACTTTACTATCAGACATCGCAGCGGGAAATCTCATAGCAACGCAGATGCATTGTCAAGAAGACCTTGTCCTGAAGATCGAAAACATTGTACTAGGCAAGAGAGTAAGGAAGTGGTATCCGTGAGGATGCTCAGGGCAGACCACCTAAGCAACGAGTGGAAGGACAGCTTACTACATGCACAGCAGGAAGATCCGGACATCAAGCCGATTCTGGAATGGATAAAGGCCAGTGCTCCCAAGCCCAAGTGGAGTGACGTCTCAGCGATGAGTTCGACCACTAAAAGCTATTGGGCCCAGTGGGACAGCTTGCTGCTTCAGGATGGAGTTCTGTGTCGTAAATGGGAGTGTTCGGGGAGACAGCTGTCATTTGCAAATGGTTGTCCCTAAAGCTAAAGTACCGGATGTTCTACAGCTGTACCATAATGATTGTTCAGGAGGCCATCTGGGAGTTAAACGAACTCTACTGAAGATCCGAGAACGGTTTTATTGGGTCCACTGTCGAAACGATGTCGAGGACTGGTGTCGCAAATGTACAAGTTGTGCGGCTGTAAAGAAACCTCAGACTCGTAGTAGAGGTGCATTGAAGTTGTACAATGTTGTTGCACCATGGGAGAGAATAGCCATTGACGTGGCGGGGCCGTTTCCGGAGAGTGAAAGCGGTAACAAGTATTTCATGGTTGTGATGGATTACTTCACTAAGTGGCCAGAAGTCTTCGCCATTCCAAATCAAGAAGCTTCAACAGTTGCAGATAAACTAGTTCATGAAGTCTTCTGTCGTTTTGGAGTACCTTTGGAGATTCACAGCGATCAAGGAAGGAATTTCGAGTCTCAAATATTCCAGGAAACTTGCCGAGTGATGGGTACTCATAAAACAAGAACGACTTCTTATCATCCGCAATCTGATGGAATGGTAGAACGATTTAATCAGACATTGGAGAGGTACCTAGCAAAAGTTGTAGACAATCGGCAACGAGATTGGGACAAGCACATACAACCGTTTTTGTTGTCATATCGAAGCGCTGTTCACGAAAGTACAGCAGTGACACCAGCTTTCGCAAACTTTGGAAGAGAATTACGGCTGCCTGCAGACCTGATCACCGGGATACCACCTGATGCTCCACGCAGTATAATCGATTATGCAAATGACTTGCGGAACAAAATGAATGACGTTTATGAGCACGTCAGACAATCGGGCCAACAAATGTCTGAAAAGATGAAAACCCGGTGCGACCGCAAAATGAACAACAAAGGGTTCGACGAAGGTTCACTTGTGTGATTGCACAATCCAGTCCGCAGCAAAGGGAAATCTCCTAAGCTTCAAGCTAAATGGGACGGCCCGTACCGGATTGTGAACAGGATCAACGATGTAACCTACCGGATACAGAAAGGCGCAAGAGGGACTCCTAAGATCGTTCATGTGGATCGCCTGGCGCGTTATTATGGGGCCGATAATGCTCGGGACGGGCATTTCTTAGGAGGGGGCAGTGTTGCGCGGCTAAGTTGACATCTCATCTCATGGCACTAGCGCCATCTAGTGTCGGGTAACAGAGCGAGGAGAGAGCTTTCCAGAAAATGACTACTTATTTATTAACCGACAGCGCCATCTAGTATCAAATTGAAGAACTAAACTTTCTAGAAGCTCTACACTCGATCTTTCTGCGCTTGGTCGGTTGGCGCGCGTACTTACTCGAATATTCTGAAATATTCTGGATGTTTTCGTGGAAGAGCCCTATATAAAGGCGCTGCAATACGCGATCGGGGAAGTTTTGAAGTTGGCGAGACAAGCGAAGTTTCGGAGCGGAATAAAGTGAATCATTGTGATTAATTATTAGTGTTTTTAACTTTAATTAGTGTAAAGTGAATTAAAGTGTTAATTTAGGTAATTCTATCGGCAATTTTTATTGTCACGAACCTCAAACTCGTAACAATATTTATTAGATAGACTAGTTCTACCTTCACTCTAGGCATCTTACATACATAAATTGCACACGAACCCAGACCCAAAATAATTTGTTGACTCTACCAATACTTATACCGTGCGGGAATCGACTCCGCGTCCACAGGCTGGCCAGCAGCGCGCAGCCACGGCGTCAGTAAGATGTCATATACCTTTTTATTTTGTAGGATCAGTAAGCTACTGTCCACTGCAGCAGTGGGCAGTTGCAAGGATCACTCACACTTCCGATGACATTCTGTAATTAGTTGACAGACGAATAGGTAACATCACTACGGTTTTAACGAAACAATTAATAAATAATTTATATTGTGTTAGTTAATTACTATTAAGTATTTAAATAAATGAAACTACTTAGTAGACTTTTTCTACTTAGTAGAACGCAATAGAAGTAAATACAATATATTATGTATTACATTCTACAATAAATGATGCATGCAGACCAACAATGCGACATAGTCCGGCCTCACTGCAACATCACCTTCTCTGCTGGTACTCAAAAATCTTCCACAACGGACAGCAGCACGACGACAATTGATACCAAAGCCCTGCTTTGTATTTGTACTGCTTGTACAACGCCCCAGCCCTTCCTCACCCTAATTCATTAAACTCATGTTTTTCAAATGTTATTTTATATTTTAGTTTTAGAACTATGATACATATAAGATTCAGACAGCTGTCCATTACTACAGATGATATTTAGTGGCCTGAAATAGAAACTCGATAGGGTGCTTAAAACACTTGGACCGTAGTATCTCAATGTGAACTCTAATTTTTTCGACTGACTTTCATACGACAGTATCAAAGAATATATACACTAAGCGAACAAACAAACACAACAACAAACTTATTTGAGCTTTGAGCAGGTCACATTTTGTATATTTTCTGGGATTCACTTGTAAAAGCGTATACATCGTCCCAAGCATGAATTAATGACTCGGTGGAATCGAGTCAACTGGTATTTCTAGCTTGTGTATGTACCTATCTATCATATTTGTATGTTTGTGTTGCAGGCAAAACGATGTCGCACTATGTGCTATGTACCGTATAGACACAGCCGGGAGCTAGTCGTAGAGGAGGCCGTCTCTGCTCACGGTAAGGAAATTCTTACGTAGATACTCTACACTAGTGTTGGCACTTTCGTCTCCGGTCGTGTGAATCCGACACGATTCCCATTGAACTAAGAGAGTGAGGGTAGAGAATGCCTGTGCGTGTGCACACACTCTTGCACGGTATAATCCTTACCTGTCTCCGTTAAGACAGTCCTCACATTTATCGACTCGCAATCGGCTTCAGCCGGCTAGAAGCACCATTATTTCTACGAAACACGGGTGTTGCCAGTGCCATTCTCATCGGCTAGGCTCGGACGACGCGTCACGACTTCAGCCGACGGCAAAACGAGCGGTTTGCCGATTAGCTGGTCATATTCGTACGGCGCTGAAAGTAGCCGAACACCTACGTCGACGTGTTTAAGTTACCGACGGCAGCCGAACGGCGTTTAAATGATCCGGTTCCATGATTTCATTCCAACGGTGGTCGGATGGCGCAGAAGGCGGCCGAACGGCGCTGGAACGAACACGAACAGTCGCCGCGATGACGGTTCGGAATCGAATGCCAATCGCTTGTGCATAGCAGTCGCAGCAACTGTTCGGCGTTAAGCCGAGTAGTGTGGTGATCACGCACTCGACTTGAGCCGATTACGTGCCGATTAATGTGGAGATTCCCTAAGACTGGCTGCCGTGATCAACATTTGGTCTGGAGGACATCATTATAGGCTGAGCTTTGTCTAAGCTCGCTGTGGTTACTTGCTGTTCTCCAGTAGGCGTACACAAAGATATTTTTAATACCATTGACAAGCGAAGCGGAAGCGGAGATGGTTTGCAGCTACTTCCTTATAATTCCTTATGATGACTGCAATCTGATGTTTCTTATAAACGAATGACAAACTTATATTTAAAATTTATAAAGGATAATAACATACAGTGGTATAGGGGAGAAGTGGCATGAAGGAGCCAGGTTTGGAAAGAGCCACTTACATTATTTGGGTACTTAATGAACGGATTTGGTTGATAATTTTATTTTTAAGTGGCAACATTGATTCCACGTCACCCACAAACATTTGACAGTCCGCCGAAACCAACTGACGTCAGTACATCGAGTCGAAGTTTTTGGTACTAAAAGTAAGTATTTTGCTTCATTTAACTGTTTTTTTTAGTATGTTATTGTAAAGAAATATTTGTAAATGAATTCTAGATTGAGTCTGCGCATATACTTGGACTTGCAGCTGCGTAAAAACTGAGCCGCAAAAGTTTTGATATTATTGTTATTTTAAAGGTTATATTTTTTTTACAAAATAAGCTATGAAAGATCCGGGTGAATGGGCCATAAAAGATCTGGCTCTTTCATAACCGGCTTTTTAATAACCCTGCATTTAAATATTTTCAATAAAATAATAGTAAATATGAATTTTTTCAGACATAATTAATTATTTGCTTCAGATATTGGAATATGGACAAACCTGGTCCAAAAAAGCGAAAAAAAGCTCAGAAAAATCAGAAAAAGCAGTCAGTGAAGTTTTGGAGAAAGAAATAAACAAAACTGCACTTATATTTAATATATCAAGGGCATATTTAGCTAAAATAGTTAAAAAGTAAAAGCGTTTGGTGAATCAGCACATAAACGCTGTCCTAATATAGGTAATAAGCGTATTTTCACAACAGACCAGGAGTATATGCTTGTGGATTATTTAAAGACTGCTTCTGACATTTGATTATGCAATGACCCATAATACCACTCCAGATAAATGGAAGGAAATTAAAATTGCGAGTGACGATTGGCTCAAAGGGCTTATGAACAGACACAAACATTTAGCTGTGAGGAAACCTGAAAGCACGTCTCTATCCCGTGCAAAAAGTTTTAATAAAACTAATGTAAACACATTTTTCAGAAACTAAACACTGTTTTGCGCAAATACCATTTTCCTTCCCATATGATTTTTAACGCCGACGAAAGAGGCTGCAGCGCCGTCACCAATGCTCCTAAAGTCATAGCTGAAAGGGGTTTGGAGCAAATTGGGCAAGTTACCTCAGCTGAACGAGGAACATTAGTAACATCTCTGTTCTTTATTAAATGCTGCTGGTGGTTTTTACCCCCTATTTTTGTATTTACTAGAGTAATCTATAAAGATCATATGTTAAATAATAGTCCGCCTGGAGCTCTAGGGTTGACTCAAGCTTCTGGATGGATGACTGAGAATTGGTTTGTTAAAGCGCTTGAACACTTTGTGATGCATGTTAGGCCATCAAAGGGGAATCCAGCATTAATATTAATGAATAATTACAACTCTCATGTGAATCTCAGAGTGGTTGTATTTGCCAAACAAAATTCAATGATTATAGTTACATTCCCACCGCACTGCAGTCACAAACTGCAACCTCTCGATGTCACAGTATATGGGTCTTTCAAAACTAGATACCGCATTGGCATGAATGGACGGATGTTGTCAAACCCTGGTAAAACAGTAACTATTTATCAAGTTAGGCAATTTATAAAGGAAGCATATCGGTCAGGTTTTATTCCTCGTAATATAACACAAGGATTTTTGAAAACAGGAATTTACCCTTTAAATTCTAATATATTTAATGAAGAATAATTTTTATCTTCATACATCACTGATAGACCTGATCCGTCACAGTCTTACGAAGGTAATAAGTTGAACTTGGACAAGGAAATTAATGAAAGTAACTTGAGATAAACGCCTCTGTCTTCTATAAAACCCACTTGAAGCTCGCGAGGAAAATGAGGTTGTTACAGACCAGATTATCAGACCATCTGCCCATTTAACCTCTACCTCTACGGTTGCGATTCCGAGTACTTCTAGGCAACAAATTGTCACCAGAAAGGATAGGACCATTTTCTAAAGCGGGGCCAAGACAAAACAACACGCAATAATAGAAGAATGTCGTCTGCCATCGTGACTGACACTACCGAGAACAAAAAAATATTTTAACACACACAAAACAGCCCATAAAAACCCTTTATAGAAAATCAAGAAAATGTCAAGGAAATTCTGTACCACTAGAGATGACTTTGAAAAAGGTTGTTCAAAGCAAAACAAACTCCAAAACAAATGTAAATAGTGTTAATTGCGTAATGTGCAGCAAATCATATGAAAGTAGTGATCAAGATTGGTTTCAGTGCAAAATTTGTTCTGAGTGGGCTCACGAATGCTGTGGCATTAAGGGAAAATTTAATTTATTTTGCAAGAT